AGTTATTTGAGTTTAGGCCTTTTCGGTTTTAGGCCTTTTGGGGTTTAGGCGTTTTGGGTTTTAGGCCTTTTGGGGTAGAACCGAAAACATTACCTTATCTCGGGGTCTATCTTATACCGAGTTACCTTATTTCGGGGGCAGACTGTACATTCATTTAAATAAAACAAATCAATAAATAATATATTTATTAGTAAATTAATTAAATATTAAAACAAATTACATAATACTAGTCTAGACATATCACTAATCTATTTATAATAAATAATCCGAAAATTAATACATGTAAAAATACTGATAACCAAAATTTGCTTACTATAACAAAAATTTCTGTAATCAACAAAAACATATCAACTATTTTTCAACAAATATTTACAAAAACAATATCTTCGCGCGAATTGATTGCTAATACACTGAGACTGGAGTGGTATCCGTAATTATGCCCTGTGCAGCGGGTGCTAGGCGTATGGACACGGGAGTGACAAGTGTGATTGGCATCGGAGTTTATTCCGTGGCGATCCCAACTGGTGATCTCACTGGTTTTTTAAAGACCTCTTTTCCACCACTTTGTCCTTATTATAGATGACTTTCCGTCCGATCACATCATTACGGCTCTCATTAAACATCAGTAACTTATCGGAGAAGTGCTGCTCAAAGGCACTGACAGTCTGGTTGAGCGCCAGTACCGCACATTCATTAGCAAAGTCTTTGGTCAGTAGTTCATTGATACTTTTGACCACGAATTGAGATACGGGAGTCATTTGTGTCAGATTAGCTACCGGTTCGCTGGACTGGCACGAACACCAGTGCTCCAGTATTGGTATGCTATGGCACGACCTGTTCTCAGGTATGTCCACAAGTAAGGACTTTCCGTACCTAATACTGGCATCGGTTTTATTGCCGGTGATTATGTGCTTAAGAGTGGCGTGAATGTCAAATGGTGTGGTCAACCGGTTTTCATTGACAGATAGGCTACCGGTGCGCCACTGTATAGGCACATACAGGTGCATGAATGGCATTCGCTCCTCCAGTTTCCCCGATAGGGTTTCCCTGATTCACGGCTTGGATTACGGCACCAGACTCTTTTTATACTCATAACACAACCTGTCATCCAGCCTCAGTTTCTCAAACAACTCATTCACCACGTGGCCATCCAGCCGGTCTGGCCGTGACAAGTCCACCATGTGCGTTAGCCGAGCCATGAATGTGAAGGCAAAGTATTTCTGGTTTCTTCGTCTCATTGCTGTCACGAAGTCGTAGATATAGTCGTAATAAGTCTGTGAGTTTTGAATGCAAACAAGTGATTAAAATTTTGTTATTATGTTAAAAGTAAACTGCATTTTAGTGATAACAATGTTATACATGTCATGTACTGTATATAAAGAATATGATATGAATTAAGCAAATATTTCTATTTGCTGAATATTAGTTTAATACTGAATATCATAATATGTTTTTTGTTTTGTTAATGCTTTCCAAAAGACATTTGCTATGATATTTACCTCAATCTCAGTCCTATCGTAATAGCAATTATTTTTAAGTTTCTTCTCTATAGCCAGACTATAAGGTCTCAGATAGTAATCAGTCGGCGGTTCACTAAAACCTTTTTTGAGAAAATTAAATGCCGCCACTTGTGGCCAGTCCTCCACGAGCAGGGTGTTATAGCCGCGATTATGATAATCCTAGTAACAAGCAAATAAGTGCATTAGTTACACCAAATTATTTAGTTTTTAAACTAATGTCTAAATTTCTGATTACTTTCCAAACGAAGGGAAAGTAATTTAAGTAAACTTTTTTACTCATTGTCTCATTCCAGAGGTCGTCGATGTAATAGCCGGTTAGCAGTGGCGTGAGGTTAGGGTAGGTATTGTCGGCCACTTTGTTGTAGCCGTACATCGTGTAGAAGTCATGTCTGTCCAGAAATTGTATGGTTTTAGGGAAGTGTCGGTCAAAGTTGAGACGGGATATTGAGTCGAGTCCCACAAACAGAATATTCGGTAAATTCTGGCTTTCATTGTGTGCTTTTATACTGAGGTCCGGTATGAGTGGTATAGCCTTTACATATTTTTCTGTAATTTGTTTTTAAAATATTATCATTACTAGTTAATCATAGCCTATGATTCATAGGTAATAAATTTATTATATCATATTTAAATGTAGTAAATGGCATTATCGTAAATAAAATAAAATTTCTTAGTATTGTCTTACATAATGTGTTTCCAGTATTATAATAAAGTGAACTAGGATGTGCAAATAAGTTGAAATTCCTAGAATTTTAAAATACTATCTATAGATAACATCATTTATAAAGGTGAGATTTAAAATCTCTTTAGAATTAATGGGAAATCAATGTATATATTATAAATTAAACCTGAATTAGTTGTAAATCATAATTAAAGAGAATGTCAACATTTTAAATTTATGTGTTAATTAAAAAATTAAGTGCAACTTCTGGTAAAGAATATACAATACAGTATTCTTGCTAAATGTCAAGTTTAAGAGTTGTATTAATATAAGTAGGCTCATTACTACATAGAGATAACAAAAACATTTCCAATTAATGATAAGTATTGAATAGTTTCATAAAATTCTCTTTAGGTCAATAAGTTATTTATACACAATATAATTGCAAACCTTTTCCCAAAACACATGTAATCGCCACAAGACTGACAGTAGACTCAAAATATATCACAGAATTGCAGTCAAACCCATGACCGCGAGAATAGTGCACATAATCATCGGTTCCACTTCTTCGTGAGACTATACTATAGGAACAGTTCATAGGTTTTCCCGATTTGTTCACAACTCTAACGCCCGTAAAGTTGTATCTCTCGATCGTTACGTCCCGAAAGTGGTCATCAGTTTTACAATGAATTCTCTCATTTGATTTGTTGCGATATAAGGGCACGACCTGCTCATCAAATGTAGGCCACCTGACAATCTGACACCGGGATGTGTTCACTAAGTATGCCGTCCTTTCCTTCATTTCCCTTTTCTCGGGTTTGACTGATAAATAGATGTTGTAATTAAATTAAATATAAGTTATATTATATTATATAACTACTATATTATAATTATGTGTTTATGCATATTATATAAAATATCATATTACTGTTGTTTATAAAAAAAATTATTTTAATAAAGTGTAAAATTTTCCGTATGATATGAATCAAAAAATTAATAAACCATTTAAATGAATATTAAGAATCAGAGACATGTTTTTATGAATAGAAAATAAAATCTCAATAAATTAATATTAATTTGGTAAACATGTTTACGATATTCAAAATAAACATATTTATAATTACAAAGTATAAGTTTATATTAAATTATATCATTTGTGTATATTATGGTAATTCTTACTAATTTCCAACTCCGATACATAATATTTATGTAGATTGAATCTAGTATTTGTTAAAACAAATAGGAATAAGCCACCACTTATAATAAGCAATAATTTTAAATATGAATTTCGTTTTATCATCACAGAACTAATCACTCATTTAAAGTATTTAACAAATTAATCAAAGGTAAGGCACTAAATAAAGTTAATTAAAAATGTATGTAAATTTATAAAATACTTTTATACAAACTAATAATAAACTCCCGTATAATAAAAAGTAAACATTTATTCATTATCAATCTGTGATTTTATTAACACTAACTGGTTAAAACCATTTATTTGGATTAGGACTTAAGTTTAATACAATCAATAATGTAGATCTTATAAAAATTGCATCTAGTTCACATTTAAAGTATTATACATTGGGATACATTGTAGTTGGATCACAATAGATATGGGTGCATTAGTGATAAAGGTTTGTGATAAAATAACCCTACAACTCATGATAATTGTATATATGCTGTAAATTGTAATCAGTTTTGAGAAATTGTATTGTGTATTACAGTAAGTCCGTAAAGTGCTATCAATGTTAATAACTTAGTTATGATTTTATTAGTATATTATTGACGGGATGTTTGTCTCAAATATCTAATTGTTTTTGTAAACTCTTTAAATGTTATAAAAATAAAATTATTCTCACAAACTATTATCAAATAGAAATTTTTTTAAATGACTCATTTGTAATTATAACCTACTATTGACTAAATATGTTTACCATTTATCTTACAGTACAGTATACTCCAATTGTTATAGTTTAACACTTCCCATGCATTATATTTGCCTAGATTCAAGAGTCTAGAAATTACTGGTAACTTAAATCTATTACCAATTAATTATATAATTTAAGATTATGTTGACTATCACTTGATTCATAAAATTATCTTATCCGAAAATTATAATTAAATCAATCGTATGACAAGGTTTCACAACATACAATACAATACATAATAAATTTCAAAATTATATAAAATTTATGTAATATATTTTGTGATAGGAGGCCGAGTAGGTATCCAACCAATCAAAGTCCAACAGCTTTAGTTCAGTAAAGTAAAAGTGTAATATAAGTTCATAATTAATAAAACACTCATTAATACTTATCTAAAAAGTCACTTAAAGTTGGTTACTGGCTGCGAAACTTTGCACTTCAATGCCAATAGAGATAATGATTGTAACGCACGCCGGGAACTCCGGGATCTACACTTACATAACATACCAAACCCTTTACTTAATTTATATCTCAAAGTACATGTTTGTGCAAAAGTAGATACATTTTTCGCAGTATTTTCAGATTAATAGTGCAATATCTCAAGATATTGTGGACTCATATATGAGAAGTTAGTGAAAAATATGTTTGCTTTAAGAGTTATGTCATAAGAAATCGACTAATAGACTAAAAGTCTAAGTTTATCGTATATAAAGATTGTTTTATTAATGATGTATATTTACAAGGATTTTAAGGGCAAAAAATATGCAGACACAAAACATATAGGATTTATAAATACAATACAGTACTCCTATGATAAACACTTCAAACAACATTATTTTATAAAAATAATTTCTTAATAAAAACACAATGTCTTAGAAATACTGTACAAATTAAATAGTATTCAAACCTAAACAACAATACAGAATAATAAAGTAATTATAATTTAGGTTTAAATTGAGATATGAATTATTGGATGACATGTTTAAATAATAGGTAAATGTAGTTTAGGCTCTCGACTGAACGGCTAGTATCACTCGCTCCGGGGTGTGATTCAATACACTCGACTTCAACAGCACCGGTATGTCTGTGTTCTTAGACGTAACCAACTTATACCTCCTGATAACGTGACATAAGGCTAGTTTGACAACCATTAGGGCAAACCTCGTGCCCACACAAGCTCTATGACCGGTGCCAAAGGGCAGGTAGGTGTAGGGCACTAGTTTGTGGCTATAAACTTATACCTCCTGATAACGTGACATAAGGCTAGTTTGACAACCATTAGGGCAAACCTCGTGCCCACACAAGCTCTATGACCGGTGCCAAAGGGCAGGTAGGTGTAGGGCACTAGTTTGTGGCTATTCTCGGGCATCCACCTGTCCGGGTCAAACAGGGAGTGGTTGGGGTAGAACTCCTCGCAATGGTGTACGGCATAGACAGGGATCTCAACTGTCTGTCCCTTTTCCACCACAATCCCGGTGTCGCCCAACTTGTAGTCCTCAGCTGCCATACGTCCCAACCGTATGGAAATGGTGTGCATTCGCAGGGTTTCCGAGACAACGGCGTCTAAAAACGGCATATTTTGCAGCAAATCGTAGTCAATCTCGCCGTCCGAGTCGACGGCGCCGGCGATCTCTTCGTATAGCTTTTCCTGGACCTCCGGGCGCCGGGAGAGCTCATAGGATGCAAAGGATAGGGTAGTGGCCATCGACTCGTAGCCGGTCGTGAAGAAGTCCCAAGAGTTGGCCAGAATCTCCTCTTTCGTTATAAAACTGTCCGCAGCGTTGCCTCCCTTTCCTATCAAGTGATGGGAATTATAATGTGAAATAAATTTAAGATAAATGTTTTTTGCTGTCTATTGATAAACGACTTTCATATTTATATAGGAATCTAATGCTATAAGAATTCTATTCTTAGGAAGCTATGGGTGCTTAAGAGGTATCAAGTGCTCAAGACATAAGACAATACCGTACCATAAGAGACATCATTGGCATTGATGTCCGTCTGATTGTCATTATTCATGGACTTCATCACCAATTCAATGAAGTCGTTGTAATTCATGTCCGACTTCTTGCGCTCATTCATGATATGACGGGTCATCTCGAAGAAGAACTCGTTGGCCGACTCCTCGATCACGTGCTTCATGTGGAAAGCCTTCAACAGGAACGTCGGGATCATCATCTGCATCAGTAGTCTCATCGGGTTGGGGCTGAACACCTTGTTTGCATTATTGATGAACGGGCTGTTGCCCTGTTTGTACGAGTTAATTTTGGTGCCAAACGCGCACGTGGCAATCACGTCCATGGTCATATTGCCGTACACGGTCTTGAGCTCAGCCTCACCACCACTCTTGGCGTACGGCTCCATGTCTTTGAGCATATCGTTCAGACAGTCCCTCACTTTCATATACATAGTCTTCATGCGGGACGACGAGAAGGTGGGACTGATTACGGACCGGGCTCTGCGCCAGTCCTGGCCATTGCTGGCCACCAGAGTCTTGCCGAGTATGGGGTGGGCGTTGGCTTTCAGTATGGGGTCCGTCACCTTCAGGCTGAATATGTGCGAGTCTTTCACCATAATCTGTTTGATGAGCTCCGGCTCAGCCACTGTTAGGATCGGTGTGTTGGCCTCATAGACACTGTTTGGTAGAAATGTATGACAAATACGAGTTATTATCAAGTTTTTGGTATGAGTTGTAAGGGGTAGTAGTGTTTACCCATAGATTTTGCCATATTTCTGGATCCAATCCTTTTCCACATCAGTTGGTTCGTTGAGGAATGCGCTCAAAGTATTGCCAAAGCCTACCAGTGGCTTAGGGCCAGGGATGCCACGCTTGGCCCAGTAGTTGAAATTTCTCGTCAAATATCTGTAAACGACGTAAGAATTCAATTAAAATCTCAGACTTTTTAACAAAATTCAAACTTTTAATTCAAAAGCAATTCTCAAATGAATACAAACCTATAGGCAAAATAGACCGCAAATACAATAGCGGATAATGACCACAATATCAGCTCCATTATAGTCTATAGTAGTGTATAGTATTACTCTAATTATAAGAGTTTCTTAAATTAATTATATTAGAAACTAATTATAATTTAGTAATGTTTTAGTATGGAAAAGCTTTCAAGCTTTTATACAGTATCCAAATCTTATAAAATTGAGTTGTCAAGGACGTTCAACACCATCATCGATTGATTGGCAATGATTCAAGGCATTATTCAATGGGCTAATGTAAACAGTTGTGATCCCGAAAGGGATACCCCCTCCCTATCCCCACTCCTATCCACTCTACAGTTGTCTATAATGCTATTGCTATGGCCTGTCATCTGATTGCCGTCGAGTCACTTGTTTATGATTTTTTGGCACAAAAAACAAAACTCTTTAAGAAAAACAATAATAATCTTCAACGAAATGATAGCGATATTAGGTATGCAATGACCCAATTGTGTGGTGAATATCCGTTTATCCTCCAAAAACAGCCAGGAACTGGATTTATCTGGAGCTACCAGTGCTAATTCAGTGCTTGTTTAAGCCTTTCCACAATGAAATGCAATGTGTTGCCAGAATATTCTTATGAAACCTATTGTTGTGTATTTATAAGATTCTACTGATTACATATCTGATGGCTAACTGACCTTTATTATGCATGAAATGTGTAAACAAGTTACAAGTTAAAAACAAAAAACTTTTTATTATACTAATAGGCAATCATATAGAATATAATACAAGGTATCAAATCCCTGTGCCATTAGGTATCAAATCCCTGTGTGTGATGTAATAAAAACTTATCATGTATCAAATCCCTGTAAATATTATGGTATCAAATCCCTGTGCCCTACTATATAACAGGGATTTGATACCTACATTACAGGCATTTGATACACGCGAGTCATTATCATTTGTTAACATGTAAATATTATGAACATGTGGTATCAAATCCCTGCGATATAGTGTATCCAATGCACTGTATCGCACCCCTGTTTGTTTATGGTGATTAGCCAGGTTTCGTGTTTGATAAACACATATACATGTTCCAATACTAAAACGTGAACAACTCCGGATGAATATCTCATTCAAACTGTATATTAACACTTCAATTATGATAATGATATACTGATTAGTTAAATTGTCAGTCAATTAAGTTTGAAATGAATAGCATATGTAGTAATAATTGTAGTGTCAGTACATAATTATATACAGTATTAAGTATTATTTTGATAGTCGCCGCGACCTATGATATTAGCGTTTGATTGGATGTTTACCACCGATTTTTTTCTGGTGAATACTATACGCACAGACATTAAGACTAAGATTATGGACATTAAACCCCTAATCTGTGTCTCTAAGAGTGGTGTTTTTTATAAGCTATTAAGGTGGCTTATACTGGTGTATTATAGATGAGGTACCAATACTACATAGTGCTTATAATCAGTTATGCAATGGGGTGACAGTTAAATAACCAATGAGTTTGGGAATAATAGTCCTATTTATGCGAATAGTTAAGTGCACTCGTAATCAATTAATTTCGATGAAATGAGTTATAGTACTTATGACACTTGTAAATGCGCCAGTTGTTTATATTAACACTTTTCTGGAAATTATGTAATTTTCACTTGAATACTCATTAGTATTAAGTTTTTCACCAAAGTCGTAGATTTTTAAATAATGCCTTGTTATAAAGGATTTATATTTTTTAGTAAATTTTAAGCAAACAAATTATTATGCTTAAGAATTACAAGAAAATTAAATATTGTTATATAACATTAAATACTAAATACACATTACATTTAATAAAAATTTAATACAACTAATAAAATTACTGAAAGTCACTTTAAACTTACACAACTTAAAACCTGTTAATAAGTAGACTACTATAAGTATTGCCAATTTTTATCACATTAAATTAAGTATAAATAATTTTATTTTTAAGATATTTATGTACAATATTAATTAATTAATGTAACAAATATTATTGCAAACTTAATAAAGTTTTTAATGAATAAATAGTTTTATTTCTAGCCAACCATTTTGCTATTGATAATTAAGAAAAATTTAATTTATAATTAATATTTGTTTATTTACAATATTGATATACAGACTCTGTATTACAGAGTATTAATATAAATTTTATAGTATTTTTAGATTTAATAAATAAATTTACTTATTGCAGTAAACTATAAATCATAACTTTTAATAAATAAAACAATATTTTTATAGAAAAATAAATATAAAATCAAGGTTTATCACAAAATAAATTTTATTGAATCATGAATGGTGTCACAAATATTCTTTGCCAAGAATATTCTACTAACAACTAATGCTATATATAATGAATGTATGAATTATTGTATAAAAATAATAACAAAATTATGAATTAACGGCGCCTTTCTATCCCTAATATCACTCGTTCCGGTGTATGGCTGAGTCCGGCCTGTTTCAACAGCACCGGTATGTCTGTATTTTTGGACGTAACGAACCGGTATCTCAGCATTACGTGAACCAAAGCCAACTTTATTAACATAATCGCGAACCGCATACCAATGCAAGTCCTATGGCCGCCACCGAAGGGTAAGTATGTATAAGGTATGAGTTTATGGCTATTTTCCGGCAAAAACCTCTTGGGATCAAACACTGATGGATTGGGATAAAACTCCTCGCAATGGTGTATACCATACACAGGTATCTCAACAGTCTGTCCCTTCTCTAACGTAATCCCGGTATCACCTAATTTGTAGTCCTGTCCGGCCATACGTCCCACTCTTAGTGTGATTGAGTGCAGTCTTAGGGTTTCGGTGACCACGGCGTCTAAAAACGGCATTTTCTGTATCAGCTCGTAGTCGACCTCCCCGTCTGAGTCCACCGACGACTGGATCTCTTCGTACAGTTTTTGCTGGACGTCCTGTTGGAGGGATAGCTCATAGGTAGCGAAGGCTAGAGTAGTGGCAGTCGTCTCGTAACCGGTCGTGAAGAAGTCCCAAGAGTTGGCCAGAATCTCCTCATTTGTTATATAACTGTCCCCAGGGTTTCCTCCCTTTTCTATTAAATAATATTGAGTTTATATTAATTTTAATTTAATAAATAAAAAATATAAATTAAATTAGTCTCTCTCTCTCTCTCTTTCTCTCTCTCTTTCTCTTCTCTCTCTCTCTCTCTCATATTATCTCATTTAGTAATTGAGATAAAATACTTATGTAATAGCTATTAAAATACAAAAATTCATACCATTTGTAATGTTTGAATTAATATCCATTGGATTCTTATAATGATCACTGCTTTGGTCACTATATTCCGCACTCATAACTAATCCCATGAAGTCGTTGTACTTGACGTCCGACTTCTTGCGCTCATTCATTATACGACGGGTCATCTCAAAGAAGAACTCGTGAGCGGACTCGTGGACAATGTGTCTCATATTAATCATCTTCAGCACAAACGGCGGTAATATCATCGACAGCAGCTGTCGCACCGGGTTTGGTGTGAACACACGGGTGGCGTTCACCACAAACGGATTACTCGCGTCGGTATATCCATTCAATTTGGTGCCGAAAGCACAGGTAGCTATGGCGTCCATAGTATAGTTGCCGTACATGGTCTTCAGCTCAACCTCCCTACCGGTGCCCATAGCATACGGTTCCAGATTATTGAGCAAAAGTGTGAGACATTCACGCATTTGTGCGAACATTGTCTTCATTTTGGACGTCGAGAAGGCGGGGCTGAATAGAGAGCGCACCCGACGCCAGTCCTGACCATTACTGGCCACCAATGTCTTGGACAGTATGGGGTGTGCGGGCGCCTGGAGTATGGGATCCGTCACGTTGATGTTGAATACATGGGAATCGGTGGCCATTATCTGTTTGATGAGCGCCGGGTCAGCGATGGTTAGTATGGGTTTATTGGCCTCGAAAGTGCTGTCAACAAGATTTTAGTTATAAAACAATTAGCAAANAGTATGGGATCCGTCACGTTGATGTTGAATACATGGGAATCGGTGGCCATTATCTGTTTGATGAGCGCCGGGTCAGCGATGGTTAGTATGGGTTTATTGGCCTCGAAAGTGCTGTCAACAAGATTTTGGTCATAAAAAAATTAGCAAAAATAAAATGTTTAGGAAATTATAATAATAAATAAACATAAGTCATATGCTAAATAAAAAATACAATTTTCTTATATAAACAATAATTTTTACTATGAATTAATAAGTATACAAAATATTGGCATTAATAAGGAAATTAATTTCTAAAGTAATATATTGACAAAACTGTTTATTAGTAATGAATGTAAATTAAATAATTTATATACCCATAGATTTTGCCGTATTTTTTAATCCAGTCTTTTTCGAGTATAATCTGTTCAGTGAGGAAAGGGCTCAAAATGTTGCCAAACCCTGGGATAGGTTTAGGGCCCTTAACCCCCTTTTTAGACCAGTGATTAAAATTTCGTGTCAAATATCTATTTATTAAATAATAAGTGTAATTAATTTTAAACTAATTAAGTATTTCATAATACAAACCTGTATATCAAGAATATTGTGATTACAATGGCATAGAGAGCCCACAAAAGTTTTTCCATGTTATTAGAAAGTAATTAATTTGTTGCTAAAAGTAATAATTAGCTTTTAATTTAGTGGTAATCCTATTAATTATGTGACAAACGGGGAACTCCTTAAATAGTTTATAAAAACATAAAATTATTGATAAAAATTTTCTAATCAATAGATAAATAGTTATTTTTTAAGGTCACCAATACTCTGATTTGTAATATAGTAAATCACATTTATTGTCAACTCTATAATAATAACTGACCTAAAGTTAACCAGGTTATTGCAATGTTTTTTATTGATTATAAAATTACATTCAAGTTATTATTACAAGTTAATAATGATTTTGAAAGGCTTAACTGTGTGAACATCTAATTGAATTTAGCAATTTGTTTAAGTGTATGTATTTTCTTATCATTAGTTCATAATATCGATTAGTTTGGTATACAATGCACTTATACTATCAATCAGGCTTTCCGTTCCGGATTCGGGTATGTTTGTAATACTACTCAAACAAATATCCCTAAAATCAACTTAAAACTAACTTTTAAAAAATTAATTTAATGTTAATTAGTAATCTTAGTAGTTAACTAGTTAGTTTTTTTTAAACTTTACAATTTATATACAATTTCCTAACACAGTTTAATACTGAATAAACAAAAAAGGCCTTGTAGGTTATTGTAAAATTTTGGTTGAGTTGAACCATTTTACATTATTCTTATATTAAATATAGAATTGCATACATTTTACACTATTAATACCGGTATTCAACTTAAAACTATTTGGACTGTTAAAAAAGTGTAATTTGTTAATAAAAAGCAAATTATAAAATAATTAACCAATTTTTAAAATTAATACAATATCTGTATTGTGATAATAACATCATTTATTTTAGTTAAAAATTGTGATCACAAACAGTTATAACAATGAACATAGTACCCATAAACATGAATTATATAATAAAAGTAAACTACGGACACCAGTGCACCATTAACTGGCCTCTGTGTGGTATCAAGCAAATTTTGTGCATGTTTTGGACGAGCCAAATTCCTCGCACCTGTCGCTGCAACAGTCCTTGTCCTTAAAACATGTTATTTCGTTAGGTATACACGACTCCCTGTCCGGGTGCAGACAGTAGCCCTTAAACTTCTCATTCTTGGGGCCCTTGTAGCCTTTTAGGGCCAATTTTATGTCCTTGTTAGTAATGGCCGAGAAATCGCCAATACCACAGTTGTCCGAAATACAAGCATCATCTTCATCGCATGGAGCACCATGGGTCT